ACCCAAAGAAAAACCACTTTTACCCAATTTTGGGTAATTTACCCAGGTTTGGGAAGCACTGCCTTAGAGACTTAGTAATTGTATAGATATGTTTTATTGGTTGCCTTATGAAAGTGTATGCAGTATATAACATTGTGTATAACAATATACATTTATTGAATGAATGTGCATTAAATCTATAAATGGAGATACGAGTTGCTGAACTTGAAGGAATTTTTCCTCTTTAGGCGAGGCAGGCAAAAGGTTAATGTTGGACATAAGAAGCTATCAGTATTATGGTATAACAAATACAGCAATATCTTTGGGATGGTTTCTTCCACTGTAGCAAACCAAAGTAGAAAGCATAACATTTCAGGAAAAAAAGAGGAAAAAAGGGGGAAAATCCAATGTTCAAAATATACATTTTGCCATATTAGTCTCATTTTTGAATTTTAAATTCTGTGATCAGCAGTTTTTACTTCCGAACCTTTATGTTACTTTATCATTTTCAGACATTGTAGGAGACTCCCAGACTTCTTTATTCATTCTCATTTTCATTTATTTCTTGAATTGGTGTCAGTGTTTCCAAATATAGTATGGTTTCTTTCATACCATAAGCAATATATATGCTATCTAAAATTAAACTATTTCATATTTTATTTTTTTTCCATTAAAAAAAAATGACACACAAAAAAGGCCTTGAGATTAAAAAACAGAGGAAAAAATATGTTTGGTGGTTTTTTTCCTGTTTTTTCTTGGTTTCTTGGGGGAGGTAGGTAGAAGTTCACATTTCTGTCCATAAATTCTCTTTCTACTACTACCCTCCACCTTCTGTCCCATGTAATAAGTCTAAGTTCGAATGATTTTTCTCAGTATACTGGTTTATTGTTTTATTTATAATTTGATGATGTTTTTCTGCTGCTGGGCCCATTTCTTTCTTTTTTTAAAATTTATATTTTACTGAGTAATTCTGATATTTATTTTGAAGGCCTTTGGGTGGAAAATTGACCTAAAATGCTAATATAAATAAAAGAACTTTGTTTCTGAAACTGTGGAGAGTTGCAAAATCAGGTTACCTTATTGATGGGAGAACTTGCCTTCCAAAGGAAAAGGGTCAGAGCTCTACTGATAATTATTGATTTCAAGAATCTAAAATAAAATGTAATGTACAGCATGAAACGTGCAATTAACAATGACAAATGTCTGCCTGCAGGCTTATAATCCTAAATAAGCAGACATACAAAGAAAAAGAAGGATGGGAACAGAATAATACAGTCAAATCACTGATCCAGCTTGCTCGGTATTGTCTAGTCTGTCCGCGGCTCCCTGTGATTTCAGATGCAAGTTTCCCAGGCCTACCAGGGTGATTGAAACATTGATACTGAGACGTCCTATATGCAAGGGTGTTGTTCTACCATGGAGATATGGGCTTTCTGGAGTGGGAAAACAGGAATAAGAAAAGATGGTAGAGGAAGAGGAACACTAACTTAAAAAAAAAAAACAAATACTGAAAGTTTGGCTAAATAAATACGCCCGCCATGAGGCTCATCCTGAAGAGTAGGTACAATATCCTTTGTGCCCTATCAGAGTACAGTGGCTGATAGTGTTTTATGCTGAGGAGGGGAAGCTGCGTCTACGTTTAGTGGAACTGCTTAAATGAAGCATATGTTTTGCATCTTTTTCCCCCAGTCTGCTGGAAACCATGTTTCACTACACTGATGAACCCAGATTCACCATAGAGCAAATAGACCTACTTCAACGCCTGCGGCGCACTGGTATGACACGGCACGAAATCCTCCATGCTTTGGAAACCTTTGACCGTCTTGACCAGGAACACAGCGACAAGTTTGGGCGGCGGTCTGCCTACGGGAGTGGATCCTGTAGTAACAGCACCAACAATGTTCCAGCGTCTTCCTCCACAGCCACAGCTTCCACGCAGACCCAGCATTCTGGGATGTCTCCCTCTCCTAGCAACAGTTATGATACTTCCCCACAACCTTGCACTACCAATCAAAATGGGAGGGAGAGTAATGAGAGGTTGTCTGCCTTCAATGGGAAGATGTCGCCTACACGTTACCCTCTGGCAAATAGCATGGCTCAAAGGTCATATAGCTTTGAAGCCTCTGAGGAGGACTTGGATGTAGATGACAAAGTAGAAGAGTTGATGAGGTAGGCAAAGTTGTATATCATGGATCAAGAATTAACCATACCCAGCTTCTTTCCCTTCCCACTCCCTGCAAAGACACTTCAGAGTGTTGGATTTTTCTGAATTGCCTTGCCAGGTCAAAGCTTAGTTGTCTCAGGCCAGCTGGATTGAAGAGAGATCTTAGATCTTTGTTCATCTGGTGCACTCTTCACAGCCTCAGTTTGGATTTGGATGAATATCTAATGCAAAAACTGACATGATGAAATTACCATTGGGTGGCTCTTGTGACATGGCAATTGGCCATTTGAACTTGAGTGTATTGCTTAGATGCAGCAAGGCTCAAGTGTAACAGTTTCCCCAACCTGGTGGCTTTCAATCATCCTCTATCAGGATAGGTTGAGAAAGGCTGTCCTGGGGAGTTTATGTGGTTTAAATGAAGAAAAGAGATACTTGGAAGTAGAATGTTGGTTCTTTTTGCACTGGGCTTGGAAGCTGGTTGCTTTGTATAGTTCAGCAGAATGTAGGCCAGCAGTGAATATTTTAGAGAAAACATAGGTTTTTGAAAGACCCAACATACCTTTATTGTTATATAAGCAAATAATCAGACATATTTAAGAAAACAAAAACACAATTATTTGGATTAGTGAGACTCATATATGAGTGAGCCGTAAAATAATCTGCATTTAAACACTATAGTTATGCAAGCCCCATATTTCTGCACCTTAAAATGTATATTACATAGTTTATCTGATTTTGCCAGAATAAAGAGAAACAAATAATCAAGGAAAATAACTCTCAGTTTCAGAATTATTTTTAAGACATCAGAAAGTATTGCTGAAGTATAGTTTTCAGACATATGTTTATAGTTATCAGGGATGGAAATTTAAAGAATCCTGACATGCACAGGGCTGTGGATGTGATTTTTACTATTTGGCCATGCAATGCCAGAACATTCATAGTTATGTGTGTATATATCCATTGGTTGCTTCACCATATCAGTTACTTACTAAAATGTGGGTCTGTTACTTCGCCTGTTTATAACTGAGCATCTTTTCTGCCCAGTGTCCATTCTCACAATTCCATTCAAATGATTGTTTCATAGTGAAGACTTTTTTTTCTTAGCAGGAAAATGTGAGACTTTGGAGCGAACAGCTACAATGATAATTAGGGTAGATTTAATAGTCCAGTGCAAGTAGGCATATGAAAACTAATTATGCAATAGCCAATTCTGTCTTCCCAACCTGTCTTTAGATTTCTTTCTTTGCTCTGTGGAGTTTCTTGCTCCATTCTGCTTCTCACTCCTACTGAGACCTGTGCATACAGTTCAGCTTTATGTTCTGCTTTGCATTGGTGTGTGCAAAGCAAATTCTTTAGTTCCCCAAACTGATTTTCAGAGAGATTATACATTTGAGTGGAGCACGTGTGTTGGTTGCAGGAAGATCCTAATTTCAGTACCCTCACACACCCCAAAATAAAGAGTGTCTTAATTAAACAGAGGTGGAAACATCATTATTGGAATCCATGGAGAAGCACTATGAGCCTTATTTGGCTTAGACAGAATAATAATAATCTGATTTCATACAAAACAGCTTTAGGCATTCCACACCAAATGGAAGATGGGGTAGAATCATATTTATATGTAACACCAGAAGCATTCAAATTGTATATGCATCTGATAAGCCCTGCTGTAATAGTTGTAGCAATAGACTTCAGGAACACTACCTGGTTCTTAAATCCAGGTGTCAATGTGGTTTGCTCTGATTTCTTTCCTTTGAGCAACATTCCCTTTGTGAGAGCCTCATTTAATGACAGAGGCTGCTACTGCTGCTGCTTCCCCCCCCCCCCACCCCCAAGATGTTAGTTGGAGAGATTTATTCATCCCCTGTAATGAAACTTTGTGCATTCCATATGGCTTGCATGAATTTATACAGACCGTGAGTCATCCATTTTCCTTGTATGCTTTGATCCACTGATGACACTGATTAAAAGAAATGTCTGCTGGCAAGGGCAATATATCAACCCCCTCCCCACCACCTGCCATAAATGCATCTTCAAATTCTACTTTGGTCCTGTCTCTCTCTTTTTATTTTTCATCTCTGCCCCCAACCCCACACGTTTTGATAGGAGGGACAGCAGCGTGATAAAAGAGGAAATCAAAGCCTTCCTGGCCAACCGGAGGATTTCGCAAGCAGTTGTTGCACAGGTTACAGGTAAGGGCTCGAAAACGTCCCCTTTTCCATTTTAAAGTATTGCTACATCATCTTGCTTCTTTGCTGGCTAGCGCAGGTGTTGGCATATCGCTCCACATTCTGCATTGCAGTACATATCTGTCAGCGTAGTTATTATAATATATGCCTTTGATTTAAGATCCATTGTCACACATGTCATGCGACTTCCTCAGTGAATCAGTATTTTTATTCCCCCTCTCTAATCCTGCCTGATTCTTCCTCAGCCCCCCTCCACCCAATGGCTTATACTAGTAGGATTTTCCCCCTATAATATTGTAATGAGTATCAAGTGCTTTTGAAATGGCTTTTTAAAAAATTCTAAAATCACACACGGTGATCTTGTTTGCAGGAAAATGCAGCTCCTATTTTGCACTAGCTGACTTGAGGAAGACATTAGTTCAGTCCACAGGATATTTACCTGGGAAAGTGTTTAATTATACTTGGTGTATTAGATCCAAAATTTGACCTTTCTACTTAAGCTGTGTGGGTGATACTACTCCCTGTACACACTTTAGTTTCTCATTGCTTAGCTTCTATTTGTAACATTCCATATATAATAAATATGCTATGCAAATACAATGTGCAGACATATGTAGTAATTTTATGATTTATGTTCCACCTTTTACTTTAGGACTTTAAGGCAGCATACATGGTTCCTTCCCGTACCCCATTTTTTCCATAATTTCTCTCTAAAGTAGGCTGAGGTAGTGACTATCCAAAATATACCCTGTAAGCCTCCTGTGGGGACTCTGGGAATATGGGCATTCTCAATCCTAGTATAACATTCTAGCTGCTACACCATATATGTCAAACTTGGTCCTCCAAGTGGAGACCCTTTTATAGCCAAAATGGCACCATCCACAGACAGGGATTAACTGCCTTGATGGAACAATACATTTTTTTAAAAAAGCTCTTACCCAAAGAGTTTGATGTGACTAAGCAAATTGGTGAATGCTGGAGCAAATTATGGAATGCTGACTGTTTGGAAAGGGGGGAAAATTGAGCACAGGAGTACAATGTATAGAACCCTGAATAGAAGCACTCCAGGCTGTAATATTTTGTTGCAGATCCAATTTATAGCTAATTTACTCTTTAAATAAACTGATACCCTTTTATAAAAACACATTGTTGAAATAATTCTTTTTAATATCAGTTGAAAACTTCAGGAGGAGAACGCTCTCTGTATAAGGGGCATTGCTCAGTTAAGTACATGCTTTAAATTCCGATTACCAGTTCAACTTCCTGTACATCTAGTTTAAAAGTAGCAATGCTGGGAAAACTTCTCCTAGTTAAAGTAGGTAATACTGGTCTGCATGGATCAATAATCTGACTTAGTAGGTTCATCACTTACTTTGCTACTGGCAGTGGTTCTGTTCTGAGGAGTCTCAGAAGAGGTGTAATTCAAGAATCATCTCTAGTTGCCTTTGCTTGATTTTGTTGCATGGTCAGTTCAAAAGATGAGGGCCTGTGAAAGAAGCCAGGGAGCTTTGGTGAATAGTAGTCCAAGAGACCTCAGTGAGATCCTTGTATCCCTCTGAGTTTGGACTCTGTAGGCAGTCTGCTACCTTATCACAATGACTCCCCAAATATCAGTGGTTAACATGGCTAGGTTTATATTGAATATAGCCCACCAGCACCCTTTTATGTCCCCAGAGTGGGTGAGGCTAAAAAAGTGTCTCAGTTTTTCATGTTTTTTGAAGGGTTGGGGAAGATGTTAAGGAGAAATGCATGCTTTAAGCCATACAGCACTAAGGATTAATATTTGTAGGACACTGAAATAATTTCACAGGTATGTGTCAGGTGTGTAGATATATGTACGATGCATACTTTTTTGGTGAAGACAGGAAGTTGATATAAGAGAGAATTATATATGAACAGTTGTGGATCTCAAATTTCCATCTTCAAAGTAGTTAGAGGATTTTACTGATTTTTTTTACTCCAATTTCTACACTGTTTATTCCTTCCAAATCTCTGATTAACATATAAAATGTTGCAGAAATCAATAGCTCATATTATAGTAACTTGCTTCTGGCTGGTGTTCTTCTACAACAGCTTCCAGAATAGTTTATAAATCTACAGTTAAAATAATAATGCAGTAACACCAGAGTTAAGGGGAATAAACACATGAGCCTAACAAGCATTCAAGCTGGATCTCTACAGGATCTCCAACAGCTTCTTGTCTTCCATTGAAGCTAGGATGGTGTTGACTCACATCAGAGCTGCTGTATTTCTGTTTTTTAGGGAGACTGTTCCTTTCTACCAATGAAAGAGAGAACCAAACAAATGTGGGATCCTGCTGCAAGTTGGGAAGTTGTTCCTACTACCAGTAGGAAAATTATGTGCTCTTACAGTCAGAAAAAAGTAGGCCTGCCAATTTTGAGCTGCATCAATAACAACAAGGGATACCGTTGCACTTTTAATTGATTATGTTTGTTTATTTAAAATCCTTTATATTCCAGTCTTTCTCCCTAAGGGGATCAGAAGAGTATATACTAAAATCCATAATGTAGGGTAACACATGACAAAACTCACTACAGCCAAGGGCTATAGGGCTCCCTATTCTAAAGTATAGTATATACCATATAGTATAGTATACCATACTAAAGTATGAGTATACTCCCTATATTCATAGAGCTCCCAAAACTAAATGCAGGCAGTGAAGGAGATTATTATACATAGAGAGGATAGGGAATCTATAGTCCTCTGGAACTTGCTGAATTGCAGTTCTCAGCATCTTTCATAATCATCCCTGCTGTGCCTACTGGGAATTGTTATTCATCATCAATTGGAGGACCGTAGGTTCCTCATCCCTGGCATATAAGATCAGCTCAAGAATGATCCCTAATAGGCCTAACAGTATTTCTGTGCCTAGAAATGTACTAAAGGCCAGCCAGTTGCAACTGATCTTCCTCACACACTGTAGTGATGTATCTCCAGAATGATTTCTGCAAAAATGCAGAGAGCTGAAATGATCTTTGAAACCCTCACTTTTGAAACTTCCTAGCTTTCGGTTATACATTGCTCTTTGAATTTGTAATATAAGTGCATAGAATATTTTCAGTGTGTGTTCCCTGCCATTCAAAAGAAGATTATGTCCAGTTAGGCCGTAATTAGTGCCCTCATTTCCTATGTGCCAAACATGTAGGTAAATAGTAAGCAGACTGTTTTCAGAAGTGAAGCTTTTACTGTTGCATTCAAATTATTAAACACTTGAATGTAAAAGTTTAAGCATTCATGGTCAAATTTAATATTTCAGTGAATACCCAAGTGAACAGAAGCTGACACATCCTGTACATGAGACATAGTTAAACACAACATCTTTCTGCAGATTTAAATGCATATTTATTATTTAGGTGCACTTCATAATAAGAAAGTTATGTGTATGGCAGTGTAGAAGCTTGGACACCCCTTCAGTCAATACTTTGTAATGCCTGTTTTGGCAAAATAATAAGTTTCCAAATACTGTATTACCTGTGGTCATGTAAGAGTCTTTCTATTCTTGTTTTTTGGAATTTTTCCCCACTCTTCCTTGGAGAACGCTTTTAATTCAGAAATACTCCTAACTTCCCCCCCTTCAATAATATTTAAGGGTGGGAATTGTGAAGGCCATTTCAAAATCTTTATTTTTCTCCTTTAAGTACTTCATGGTTGGTTTGGAGGCATGTTTTGTATCATTGCCTTGCTGAAATATCCAACTGCTTTTTGTCTTCAGTTTCTTCACTGGCTTCTCCAAATGTATCTTGTATGTTGTGGTTGAACAGTTCAATCTTTCTTTTATCAGTCCAAAGCACTTTGTTCCAAAATGTTTCAGGCTTATCAAGGTTTTCTTTTGCATAGTTTAGAACATAACTTTTGTGATGAAGTCAGAGAAAAGGTTTTCTTCTGTCAACTCTCTGATGTAAATCTTTGTTGTATAAGCAACATTGTACTGTACTGTGGACAGATAAACTCTTCAGCAGGTCATGATCTGTGGGATCTCCTTTACAGATCTGAAAGATTCCAGGTAATTCCAGTAGAGATTTTTCTTGATCTTCCAGATCTGCCTTGACTACAACAGTTAGATGTAATTTCCATTTCTTCCCTGGTGGCTTCTCTGCTATCCTTTCCCCTTCCTCCCTATATTACTAACCAATCGCTCTCCTGAATGTGAAGAAGAGATGGCTATGCACAGAAACCCTACCATGTGAATCAGAGGTGATAATGACAGGCTCTGAAGAAGATGATATTCATATAGCTGGAACTTTTTTTAAAGGGATGTTCCATGATTTTAAGCCTTGCCATGCTGATCATCCAGTATTTTTCCATTCTATCTTTCTGTACTTTTTACAAGATGTCAAAGTATTATTAGTAATACCTTGGGGAAGCTCTAGAGATCTCTTTCCTGCCCACTGCATCACCTTGCAGAAGGCCAGCAGGGCATGAGAGTGGATTCTCCCTTTGCGCAGTGTCCAATCCTTTACTCCAAGCCTGATTGAGTCTCCTTCCCTCACCACAGTGGAGTGAGGAAGAGAGGGTGAAATGGACCAGACAACCCACAGCACCTTTTTCTATTACACGGAAGAACTCAGAAAAAGGAGGGTCTGCCTCAGCAGCAGATTTAAAAGGGGATGAAAATGTTCATTCACCCAACAGCCCTGCATGTACATAGTTACCAGCAAGGTGCCCTCAAGCACAGCTGATATCCTATCATCTAGCTGAGACACTAAATATCAGGAAGAGGGAAAGAGGAGGGAGCCATCATGGTTGAGCTGCCTTTGAGCTCCATACCAAGCTACCATTGGGCCATCTGAACTCTTTCAGTAGAGGAGGAGAGGAAAATTTAGCTGTCCTCCTCTATTGTCTCTTCCTGACTACACTTGTTTTATGTAGTTTTATTTAGCTCTCCTCCTCTATTGTCTCTTCTTTACTACAGTGTTGTCACTGCCTGCTAGTCACAAGTAGCATAGGCTAGAGAGGAGCTGTTAAGCAAATTTGGCTATCATTCTTATTTTCTCCTTCACCATGGAAATATCAGCCTCCACAAGGTTACTCTTCCCCTGATCAGACTATTAAAAAATGGAGGAAATAGCTCCCTAAGAGAAAGTCCAGTCTGTCTGGCAGCCAGCGTACAAATGGCCATGGAGGCAAGGAGCTCAGTAGCCAGATTGAAGGAGGCAGTTCTGCAATAGGCCGATTGGAGCTGTTGGATTCGCCTCTGTTGGACTCGCCTGTATTGGACTGAACTGGATTCACCTCTGTTGATTGGAGCTCAGTATATTGCTGACCTCTGAAGCTCCTCTTCCATGGACCATGAATTGTCCTGGTGGAAGGACTGGAGCCAGCATAAAAAGGAAAGCAGTTTCATGCCAAAACACCTAAAACTGGTCTTGGGCTGCTTCAGCAGCAAGTTGGTGGCAAGATGGAGTTTCTTTGTGAGGATACATCCTCAGCAAATAGTAAGTGACTATTTTTGTGACACCTTCTGTTCACTCAGGGGTTCACTGAAACGTACCATTTGGCCAAAGTTGCATACATTTTTACTTGTAATGATACATATATGCTGTTATGCATCCCTTCTTCAAACTTGATGGAAGTTACTGATTTCCTTTCTTCAATCCAGAGTTGAGTTGGAAGACAGATAAAAATAGTAGAATTAATTTTACCATGATCATTACTCAATTAAATAACTTAATTAAATTAAATCTTTCCAGCCTAGCTGGGGATGTTGGAAGTTGTAGTTCAGCATAATTGAACTAAGATTGAAAAGAGCAAAAATGGGATTGCTTGTTTTGAAAGAGGCTAAGCAGCCTCTGAGCAATCTTGCCTCCCATCCCCAATTTTCTTTCTTCTCTTTCTGTGTCCCTGTTCTGTCCCACTGCTGTCATCCTCATTCACTCTCTGCTTTCTCTTTCTGTGCCTCCTCTATTCCTCGCTGTTTCCTCTTTGCACCCTTTCAGTCTCTCTCCTCTGCTAGTATCCTATCCAACTGTTCCCCTTTCCCACCATTTGCTTTTCAGATAGTTTCCCTATCCCCATCCTGGCTTCTAGCACAGGGTCCCATCTTATTTCTCCCTTCCTATTTGTGATCCTATCCTCCCCAGGTTTAGCAAAATGTAAGAGAAGGGTTTCAAAGAAAGTTTGAGGAATGGCACCTACCCTGGCAGGAGGGAAGATGCTGGGGGCTAGCAGTTATCTAAGGAGGCCAACTTGGGTGCCAAGCATGTCAGTGAATTATGCCATTCTAGGTAAATTTTACCCACTTGTTTATTAGGACTTTCGTTCAAAATATAAATAAATAAATAAATTGCTGTCATTAATCAGCACAAGGAAATTGGTATTCAAATATCCAAAAGTAAATTGACAATATCAGGATAATTAGGAAAAGTCTATACAGGCAAAGCATGTTGGCTAAAAAACAATATTAAATCAAAATATGCTAAGGGGCTTGATCAGGCTACACATATGCAATAAGGAAAAAAGAGATTAAAATTAGCACTCCAGGTAATACATACTTATGTATTTGTGAATAAAACAATAAAATTATCCAAAAGAAGCTTAAGAATTATAAACTTCTCTTACAGACCCCTGTCAAACCTGAGAAGAATATAGTGGAATAGCTGACATGGCATGTACACACCAAAGCATCAAAGAAGTTAAAAAGTAGCCAATGGTTAATGCTGAGCCTCAAGCCATTTCATTCAAAATATAAAGAAACTTTCCTGTTCTTATTGACGGCTTTCCTGGAAGGATTAAAAATAGAAGACAGATAGAGAAATAGTCTCCTGTCTGTGCCCCCAAAAGCCATGAAGTAAAATATATCTAAAATAGAAAGGGACAAAGTTGGTGTAGTTCATCATGTTAAAAACGATTGTACTGTTACTGCCTAAATGAATTATTAGAAGTCCTACATAGAACTGCAGCTGATAATGTGGAAGCTTTGCTTGTTTGTTTGTTTTTCTTTTTAGAAACTATCTTTGGAGGTTTTGGTAATGAGATAAACAAGACAGTGGCAGGCTGGGCATGGTATTATTAATCTACAGATAAGGCAAATGCCAACGTGAACAGCTAAGAATAGCTTGTGCAGAACACTCAGTCATCGTTCACTTCTTTCTTTAGTGCTTGCTCCCTCTAGAGGTCAGATTAGGGAATAACGCAAGTTGGGAGCAGAAAGAAGGAGATGGAATTACAGAGAGGTCCCTTCAGTTCAACATAAGCAGCACCAAAAGTGTTCCATGCAAAAGGGATATTTTAAAGGAATATTTTAAAATTGACAGGAAAGTATAATTTAAAAGGAACATTTAAAATATGCTTTAAAGGAAAGTGTCTCCTTAAATGTGAATTTTAAAAAACATTTAACCCTGTTCATTATCAAAAGCTCTCTCCCAGTTTATTTTTCAGGATCAAGGTTGAGGGGGTTGGGTGATTAAAGGAGCTTACCCTCCAGATGTGTGGTGTATTCATTATGGGAATTGTAGTCCAGCCTGCCTGAAAAGTGCCACATTGTGGAAGGGTTCTGTTAAACTGACTATATTCTCTCCATTTCGAAAATGTATTGAGATGCCTTCACATGTGCCAACCCCTTACCGGTTTCTGAAATCCTTCTTTTTCCCACTGCAAAATGTCAGCATCTAGGAAAATATTCCCATCTTCTTTTTGTGTGCAGGAAAGGGGCTGTTTGGCTGTTTTTCTCCCTCCATTTTTGATCAAGCCAGCTCTAAGTAATGGCTGACTGCTGTTTACTCTCTGGTATTGCATGTGCCTGCTTTGCTCATTCTGACCAGTGCAAAATGAACAGCTGAGTGAGTCATTCCATTTCCTGGTGGACGTGTTCATAATGTCCTCTAAGCTGATATCTTGCACTCCCTCTTCCTCCTCCTCTCACTCCACTGTTCCCTATCTTTGCAAGCAGTCGGAGCAATTAATCACAATAATGTCATCTGAAAATTAGGTCTCTTCAACTTAAGAGCTCAAAGCCTTTTATATTAAAAAGAAAAAGGCTGTCATTTTTGTAATGCACAGTGTGTGTGTTCTTCCCCATAGACAGCAAAACCATGAGACTACTGATTGGAGGGGGAGGGTGCAATCTAACCACTATAACTGAGAAGTGTAATCATTTTCATCTGCAGCTTCAGGCTGCTCTTTAAAAGCCCATGTTGCACTAGAATAGGTTGAGAAGCATGTTCACAGACTTCAGTATGGAAGTGTTATAATCACAGGAAAGTATAAGATTGCCTTATTCCAAGCCCATTCAATCTTTTATTTACATTTCTTTAAACATTTTAATTCTGCTTTTCTAGTTAGAATTTACTCAGTAGTTTTTTAAAAAAAATTTTAGCTTGCTACTATCTACAGTAATGGGCAACAGTCATCAGGGCCTCTGTCAGAGGCTGAGGACTTTTCCATTTTTTCTTACCTGAACTGGAGATTCTAGGGAATGATCCTGGTAATTTTTGATGCAAAGCTTATACCCTGCCTCTTCCTTAAAGTTTCCAACGTACACAAATTCCTGAGCTTAAGATGTATAGCCTCGGCAACATCAGTAACACTAAACCAAGGACAGTCAAGCTGGCCATGATGTCCCAAACTTCTGTGACATTGGAGTGATCAGCTAGTGGCATTAAGAAAAAGAGACAGAGGAAGATTTGAAACCACGAGGAAGCAGATTTGATATCATACTGTGCTTCACAAATATGGCAATAAACAAGATTAAGGCTGCACTTTTAAATACACTTTGTAAGGAATGCATATTGCTGAACATAGTGGTAAAGTTCTGAGTAAGCCTAAGTAGAATTGCACTGCATGTTTCTAGTCTGTTGTGTTCTAACAAATGCATCTTCCATAAAAATTTGAGAAGATAAATTGGATAAAAATTGCAGTCCCATACCCGCTTGAAACCAACTCGTACAGGAAATGCTTTAAATAACTTATAAGAAATGCACAAGCTTGTGTTTTAACAAGCCCTTGAGAGAAGGACTCCAAAGATATGGGAGCAGCTTCAGAAAATAAGGCTTTATTCCATTATTATTTTTAACTCATACTAGAGACTGTTTTGTCAGCAGATCTTAAAAATGGCAATTGATATAAAAGAGTTGTGCTTTCAAGCACAAGGGTTTTGGAGAGGTGGGGTTGAAAAACATTAACACGTTAATGGAAGTGTGTATTGTTCAATTGTTGGTATATAGGAAGTGAAAAAAAAATCATGAAGAAGAAGAAGGTGGTAGCTTACTAATTGCTTAGCTTGTACTGTAAATTCCTGATGGATGGAGAGACAATTCTGCTTTCTTGATGGGGGCTATCTGCTCTGAAGCCATATTTCCTGACTGCTGTCCCTCCTGCAGGGTTCAAAGTTGTTCTCCATTTTCTGAGATGTATTCGGAGTCTGCTTTCCTGCCTTTTCATGTTAGAAAGTTACTTGAGATTTTCTTTTGTGAAATGAAACAGGTATTTTCAGGGGTTCATATTACAAGCCAAACATCAGGTAAATTCACTGAGCCTTGTTTAGGTAGCACTTTGCTATTTAAAGGACAAAATTGGCTGTGTGGGGTGGGGGAGATGTCTGATGGTTGTTTCTCCCATGTTTCTCTTTGTCTGTCATGCAGGTATCAGTCAGAGTCGGATCTCCCACTGGCTGTTACAACAGGGATCAGACCTGAGTGAGCAAAAGAAAAGGGCCTTTTACCGATGGTACCAGCTTGAGAAATCAAATCCAGGTAAACAAAATCAAACTAAGACACTCCAGCCATTTCCTCTAAACTATGCCCCTTTGTCAAGGGGCTGTGCATGTTGTTGGCTTCAGCACTCTCTTTCCTTCCCCACCCCCCTCCCCCAATTTCACCCTGTTAAAGATCATTGTTGGAAAGTGGCAGCTAAGGGGTTGGAGCACTTTGCAAATAGGCTTGATTATAAATGAGGTTATTTTAATTAGGCTAGGGAAATCTTCCCCAACTTGGTCCTCTCCAGGTATGTTGGGCTCTAATTTCTGCAATGCCAAAGCAAAAGCCATGCTGGTTGGGAATTAATAGAATTAAATTGCAGCACATGTGGAGGAGACCAGGTTACAGAAAGTTAAATTAAGCAGTTGTGGGTTTTCCCACTACTTTCTATTTTAACTCACACCTTGATTGGTGGAGCTGAGTGGTCTGTTGACTGGACTAAGTAGCCTTCTTCTTCAAGACCATAGCTGTTTTTAAGGGTGGAGGGAGAGCATCCAGGAGCATTTATTTATTTAAAACATTTGTATAGATGCCCATCTTAAAACTAAACTCTGGGTGGCTTACATCCCAACAATTAAAACAACATATACTGCTAAAACAAAAACAATAAAACCAAAAACAGGAAAAAAGAAAAACCTAGCATTGCAACCACATATTCCTGATGCAACCTATTCACATTCTTTTCCCACTGTGACCTCAACTTATCCCAGCACCTGTGGGAAGAGCCAGGTCTTGAATGCTCTCCAGAAGGTTAAAAGGGTGGAGGCCTGTCAGATCTCCAGGGGGGAGGGTGTTCCATAGGGCAGGGCCAATGGAAAAGGCATGCTTCTGAGGACCAAGAAGGTGACAATGTTTAAGGGGAGGGACCTGGAGTGTACCTACCTATCTGCTCTGGTAGATACCCTCAGGGAATTGGAAATCCTCTAACAAATAAAGCAATTTCTGACAACATGAGCTATTCAGTGACAGAAAGAGCTTCGGAAGGTAAAACTCCATTCTTCATTAGAGAGTCCGAAGAAGATGCTGGACAAAAACAAAAATGAAGGAGATGAAATTTCTGTGAGACTTCATCTGGCCAAGGTTTCAGAAAAGAAATACCCCTTGCCTCGAGTTTCCCTTTTAATTCTTGACTCCCAAGCTTCAAAAAGCAGGGCCAAACAAAGCATTGGGGGGAGAGTAATTAAATGCCATCATTTCTGCACATTCCCTAATAAGCTTTTCTGTGATTTTTCTGCAGCTGCACGTTTTTCTTTTCTCAGGCTAGTGTTCTTGCAATAGAAAAGTAGGATGTATTATATTTCCGGTAAGATGGGTGCATGTGAAAGTAGGAATCTGTGTGTTGGTAATAGTTGTATATTATGGGCAAGAATATGTTTAGGGAAATTTTGTGCAACATTTTGAATAAATGTGATCCAGTGGGTATTTATTTATTTTATAGTATATATATCCCACTCAACTCAAGACTCTAGACAAGTTACAACAAATTAAAATTATAAAACAAATTTGATTTACAGTACAAGAACATATCAAAATGATTTTTAAAAAATAATAATAAAGCAATCCTCCCCCAAGATGGACTCCAATAAAACTTAGCTAAGGTAAAGATAAAGACACAGTGAAATAAAATTATCTCTAAAAACCATGAAGAAGTGTCCAAATGTTTGTAACGAAAAAACAAATAATGATAATAAAGTAATTAATGCTGTGGGAATATTGAAACATTGTAAGGCTGCAGGTGTAAATATTGTACCTAGAGAAATGTTAAAATATGAGGTGTTTTGCTGTATGATATGTTTAGGGTTTTGTGGAGGCTGCTGTTTAAGATATGCATTTAAACTAGAAAGATATGTCTGACTTTTGGAAGAAGGATGTTATTTTTCCCATATACATAGAGGAAAATAGCAAGAGTGAATGCAACAACTGTTGGAGGATTCGTTTGTTAAATTCACCTAGGAAGGTGTACAGCAGAACTCTAATCAAGAGAGTATGAGAAAGGACAATGAGCAAAAATTAGGAAGTATATTGGGCCTGTATGCCAGGTTGGGATAAATGTATAAGAGATTTGTGGTGATAGTAGAAGTGTGTTGGTCATGGAAGTGAACATAAGTATAATTGTGTATGCAGACAATGGTGTATCATTGGCTGAAAACCCGAATGATATTCAGTGAATGTTATTTATATGATGCAACAAAGAATATGAACTGAAAATTAATGTATCAAGCACTAAGGTAGTTGTGTTTGGTAAAGAAAATTAAGTGAACAATTGCAAGCTACATTTAAATGTTGAAAAACTAGAGCCAGTAGATGAATTTGTATTTCTTGGTAAAATACTTATTAAAGGTGGGAAAATGAATGGAGACATTCTTAGACATGCAAATCCTCACAGAAAGGTAGTGGGTAGCAAGTGGTTTATTGAGTGAAATGAATGTAGAAAGAAGTAAAAAATTGCTGTGTATAAGAGTTTGCTTCTGCCCATTTTGTTACGTGGAAGTAAGAGTTGGATATTTCAGAAGAAACATAAAAATAAATCAAATGCAATGGAAATGGGTTACTTAAAAATGTGTGTGGTAAAACAAGAAGATACAGGGTCAAGAACACATCAGTGCTGAATGAATGGGAATTGAATATGAAAGTGAGTGACCAGTGTGGGGTAAAAAAAAAAGATTGAGATGATGAAATGAATCAGGATCAAATCACAAAACAAATGCCTAACAGAAGAGTAAATGGGTTGAGAGGAATGGACAAACTGAGAAAGTCATGGTGGGATGGAGTTAATAAGAAAAGTGAGAAGTTTCAAGATAAAGAACAATGTCTGAAGCAGTTTGTGGACATGGTGGAAATAAGAATGATTTTCAGGAAGTAAAAGTATAGTGAATGGCCTTGATATAAACTAGATTCATCTATATTTTCTTATTACATGCCTTTATTTCTTTGGCATACCATTCCTTACTCCTTTTCTGCATTTGTATAATGCTGCTTACCTCAAAAGAGAATAGCAGGATGAGTATTAATGTGTGCAGTTTGCCAGATAATTGCTTTCTTTTCAAAACATGAAGATTTGAATTGTTCCAGCTTGGAGGTATTTTGTTTTTGTCATTGTAATATTGCTTTGTTTGAAGCCTCTCTCTTAGCCCCTGTCTGTATGGGTAAGTAAAATAAGTATGAGGTTACCTTGCTAGATTAAATTTTGGTTAAATTGTTGCAAATTGTCTCTCCCTTTCTCCATTGGTAGGCATCTCATGAATGTTATGGACTTTTCATGTTGCATATCATTTTTACTCAGAGAAACTCTGGACATTTGAGTTCCACTTACATATATAAGTAGCCACAAATGGTAGCCATCAATCAAAAAGGGGTAATTAAGAAGGACGGACCTAGCAGTCAGGTTTACAATCTAAAAAATTACACGAAAGGAAGATAAATTGGTAGGGAAGAGGAAAAAACAAAAAAACACAGCTGTTAGGTTTTGGTTGCAAATTACTTGTTATATAAGATACTTCTCCGGCCAGTGTATGGGACCAGGTTGATAATTCCTTTACTGTTATATGTTTTAGGACAGCAAAAGTAAACATAGCCCATAGATTGATAGCTGAGTAATAGAAAACTTTTATATGTATCTTTCTGTTTGAAAAATGCATACATTTTCTGAGAAGTTTTGGATTCAGACTTGAGCACTGCTACAGGGGTAGACTTTTAAGCCACTCTGACAGATCTCGCAGTACCCTTGTTTTGACATCCAGAATGTTAATTCGTTTGGTCTGGCTTGATTAGTCTTATTGGCAAATAGGTAGCCGGGCAGCCTGTATGAGTCGATGAGTGAGTAACCTTGGCAGCACTTTCTGTCTCTTTCTCCAGGTCGTCACCAATTTAAGCAGACACAGAGATGTGATGGCCTTGGCTTGCAGTCCAGGCACAGCTGTCTGCATTTTTTAAGCAAAAGTACTGGAGCTTTCTCCTTGGACCCTATCCCATGTTCTCCTTGCTTGAACATGTATGGCTTTGTTCTGCACAAGGGGAAGAAAAGGCATTCCTCTTCTATAAGAAAGAAATTTGCCCAGTTTGTTAATGCTTTAGCAAGGGTTGAGTCTGGTTCACCATGTCTGGTGTACTATTTTTAGGGCCAGCTTAACAATGAAAATAGAGGGACTGCCTCCCATTCCCACTGTCCCCATTTCACTGTGATCTTCTTCTTCAAATTTTGTGGATCAATTTTTCCCTCCTTCTGGGATTCAGGACTGGGTTCTAATAAATTAGCTTCACATTCCCTATAATCTCCATGGAAATACAGTGAGCTTCAAAAAGAGGAAAGAGTGAAGTTAGGGAGCAGGGTGTCAAGGGAAAGACTGTGAGCCAACACAGTGATTCTATGTATCTCTTTTAATTTCTGTTTATATTTGGTCTATCCTGAGAATGCCACCAGTCAGTCTAAATGGGGGACCCCAGGTTGAAATGCAGCTTCCCTCAAGATGTTTCTACTTCCAAGTGTGTTGGACTATAATTTCCACAGTTCCTGTTCAGCATAATCTTTATGGGAAATATAGAAATGTACATCTGGAGGACACAAAGGTTTGGGTTTGATATGGACCATCATTATTATAGATGTATTTCTCTTCCTCTTCCTCTGGACTGCAAAATTTCTGTTGGTCTGCCAAGGAGCTTCCAGAAGCACCTATTAAGAGTACAGGGGCGTTTGGTGTTTGGAGGGATTTCAGGATATGCCCCCCCTCCCCCAAATAAGAGAAAATGTATGCTTAAGATCCAAGGCATACTGTATTAAAATTTTTCATTTTACTATTATTGTCAATCAATATGGACGAGCACCAAATAACACTAGTATTTTAGGGGGGAATAAGATGCAATTCACAAATGATAGAAGAGAATGCAGAAGGAAGGGAGGGAGCAAAATATAAACTTTGCAGAAGAATCTTCTGGGCATCATCACCATCTGAAGTTTGTGCTTGAAAGAGTGAATGAGACAAGACAATCAACCACACCATCTTTACAAAACTAGAGGGAGCAAAGCCTATTGTGAATAGAAGAGTCCCAAAAGAAATTAGTGAGCACATGAAGAACCCCATAGAATTCTTAGAAACCTTTGGGCTACCTCCACATCAGTTCACATTTATAATAGGTATAGTTATAAATACTTTTCTAAGCAATGGATTAATGATTGAAACACAGCTGCAAGTCTTATAATTTCAGATTTGGCTTGACATTTTGCCAGGGGCTTCACTTGTTCTCTCTAATTCCAAAATTCAGACTGTGACCACCACTGTTTCAAAGAAGCCTCACCCATAAGTTTCCAGTACCAGCATACTCAAAGGAACATGACAACTGTAGCAATGCAAAAAATACATGGGGGAAAAAAGAAAGAGGGTGACTTCAGTAACTAGTACTATGAAGACTGGGTTTCTTTAATATCCATGGAACAATGGCTAAATATTTGGAGAGGAGGGAGAGAGAGAGAAACTGGGAAGGTGAATTTGGAAAGAGATGGATTCGCTGGAATCCATGTCGCAATATTTTGTTGCAGATCCCCCTTGTAATTTTTATACATTCTTGTAATGTCATCAGTTTTATCTGATTTCTAAACTGAAATGTCAGAAACATGTTATTTATTTGCTTGTTTGTCTGTTACAAATATTTCTACACTGCCCAGCCAAAAGACAAGTCCTAACAATTTACACAAAATACAAAATGCAAAAACAAAGTATACAAATACTGAGGAGTGCTCACACAATCAGCAATTCAGATCAGCCCCTCAACAGTAATTCAGGCAAGGCAGATTTAACCAGCTTCCCGAAGGCGAATAGGGAGGTGCTAGGTGCATATTTGGGAGCAAGTTGTTCCATAACGTGGTCCTAACAGAAAACACTACTCTCTGTTTGTGGGACATGTCCACTAAGCATCCCCCCCCTCCTTGCATGTATGCATACATCAGGCAGATTTCTCCTGGAGAAAATGGATGGTGGGAAATCCTGGAGCCAAGCCATGTAGGGGTTTAGAGGTGAAAACCAGAACTGGACCAGAAACCAGTTGGCAACCTAAGCAGCAACTAGAGAATAAGTATAAATCTTATATTGCAGCTTTCAGTTGCTAATAACTTGGCCACTGCATTTTGTACCCACTCTATCTTCTGAATCATTTTCAAAGGCAGCACTATGAAGAGAGTGTTATAGCAATCTAACCAAGTGGTAATAATATCCTGGTCCAGATAAAGATGAAACTGGCACACCAACCTCAGCTGGGCAAAGGTTCCCCTCACTTCTACCTGTTTTTCTAGTAAGAGTTGAGAGTCCAAGAGTACACCCAAGTTGCAGGCCAGCCCTTTTATGGGGAGAGTGACCTTTTCCAGAGCTAACAATGGAAGAATCAAGGAATCAAGGTGTTTCTGTATAGGGACTCTGTTTTGCTAGGATTAAGTCTAAGCTTGTTTCTACCAATTCATAGCATCCAGTTACTGGGTTAGGGCTTCTATAACATCTCCAGCCAAGGCTGGGCTGGTAAGATAAAATTGAATATCATCAGTGTACTCACTACAAACTAACTGATGATTTTTTCCAGTAGCTTCAAGGGAGAGCAATCCTGCATTATCCTATTCTGGAGCACCCACTGGCTTGACCCTTAACTACCCATTAAGATAGGAGTTGAACCACCACAGAATGATCCCTCCAACCCTCATAGATGGTTTAGTAAGATGCCATGATTAGTGGTATCAGAAGCCATTGAGAGGTCTAATAGGATCAAGGGGGCATACTCTCAACCTCTAGGTCCCTATGTGAATCATCCACAAGAATGACCCGTGCTGTTTCCACCTCATGTTTAGGCCTGAATGCAGGCTGAAAAGCATTCAGATAATCTGTTTCATCAAGGATCCTCTGTAACTGAACCACTACCATCTTCTCAACTTTGCCCCAAATGGGGAGGTTGGAAACTAGAAAGTAGTTTTCTAAAAAGGCTGGATTGAGAAATGGATTCTTCAAGAGAGGTAACACCACTACCTCTTTCGAGGTAGTTATGATCATGCCTGCTGTCAAAGAAGCATTGATCACTTTTTAAATCCAGCCCCTGCATGCCCCATTCTTGCCATCTGAAGGTACCAGCAGGTGCATGGATCCAGGTCACATATATTGATGTTCATATAACAGAAAACCTTCACCCCTTCCTCAGTTTCCATCAGCTCAAATGACTTCCTGATAACATCATAAGACATTAACCCAGTCACTGCTGTTGAACCTGTCCAAGCTCAGAGTGAATATCAATATGAGTGATAAAATGGCCTTCAAATGTTGTTTTCTGTGTTTGGTGTTTTTAACTGTCTGACTTGCAGATTAGAGAAGATGCAGGGAGGGGAGAACAGAATGGAAAGAAAAAGGTCTAAAGACCCTGTTTTGAGACTGAATGTGAAGTGAAAGTGATTGAGAGAAAGTTGATGTGCCTGAATTTGTGTTTGGGAAGTGGAAATTGTTGGAGGAAGAAGCCAAGGAGAATAGAGGAAGAAGAGAACAGAAACTAGAACAACGTTGACATGGAAGTTCATTTGGAAGAAAAAAGTTGGTGATGAACCCAGATATGTTCGAGCTCTTTGCTCCCAGAAAAAGGAAGAGGCAACAGGAAGTGAACTGTGGATGTGTGTTCCATCAGAGCTGTAGCAGCCAGCTGTATACAAGCAATGTGGTGGCTGCCAAATATCCTATTCTTTTCATGTAAAGTGGGTTTTAGTTCTACCAGGTAGGCGTGCCTTTTATTTTACAGGGAGTGGGATGACAGAGTCATCAAGTACTGAAATAAGTAGGCTTTGAAGCAGCAAAGCTTTCAGGGTTGTAGCCAAGTGATCTAATCTCTTGGCTGTGCTGCTCTTTTGTACGGCCATTTCTAATGCTTAGAGAAGGAATTGCAGAGCAGGGAAAACGTGTTGTGTATTCAGAAAGCAGGCCTGTCAATAGGTGATTTACATGGAGGCAAAATATTGCCGAAGAAAATTTATAGATTTTTTTGGTCTTCCTTTTAACCAAGAAGCATCTTTGAAATGCTTGTCTTATAGAATTATTTTGCATCTGTTACCTGGAAGTTAAATGTTACAGAAATTCGCTCTCTTTCCCATTCTGCTCTGAAGTTCACCAAAAAGGATTTCCAGAGAGAGAAAGTCAGTTTTGCTTTTCAGAGCCTCCTCTCAGTATTTTGCATGTGGCTACTGATTTTTTATTTAAAAACAAATTTATAATTGAAACTCTGCTGAAGTATCTTCAGACTGGGGTAGATGAATCTGTCATTTTCACTTTTGGTCACATTTTTGTTTTGAAATGAACTATGAGCCCATTGTTCTGCTTTAGCTTGCAAATTTGCCCCTTCTTCCAACAAATTGTATGATAATTGTTAAACATTTTTGTGTATGTTCCTCTTTATACACATATTTTAATAGTTTTCCTTGTGTACATACTTTTACTCTTATTTTGCCTTAATTTACATATTTTGTAGGTTGTTTTAGAATAGCAAATTACATGATAGCATTATGAAAAATGTTGAATTTTGTGAATATCTGCATTCTGATTTGCTAACTGTGTTTTGGAAATGCAGACTTAATAAATCCATATAAATGTTGAGATCCTGTTTCAGTACATATCATGTGTAGTTATATAGAGATTTGCCTTATGTTGGGTGGGATCATTGGCTCAGGTATCCATTACTCCATCTTTCAACTTTTATATCAAAAACATGTACAGTATTCTGTATCTTCTGGGTCTGTTGTGCTGCTATTAAAAATAAAGTATACAAAACAGGAAAAATAAACAATTTGTAGTAAACTATAGATTCATTTGAAAGTCATTATTAATTTGAATTAGCTTGACTATCTCTGGCTTTTTTAATTAGCTTGAATATCTCTGCTTTCATATGCTTAAATAATACTGTTGTCTAAACTGCTAAGGTGTTATGGAATGTTAATGAACATTCCAGCTGTTCAGATGCAAAGCCTCAAATGCTCTGTACATTAGAGGGAGTACTTATGTTTGGTAATGAGAGGAGGTGCAGACAAGGAAGAAGGCAATACTGTCATAATGCTAGGTAATAATTAGGCTTTGTTTGTGTGTGCATAACAGAAGAGGGAAGGCATGTAAGAACTTTATAGGAATAGTCTCTAAATGTGTGAAAAAGCAAGTATCTCTTATTCTTACCAGGCTACTTACAATTATAAGCCATCTTACTCACATTAAATTATAGCAGTACAGTACAGTGTGATCTGTCTTCTGCGGTATTAGAAGTCGTATGTTGGTGAGAAATGCTGGGTAGAGAAACACCATAAAGAAATACTACAGTACTTTCATCCCAAGATTAGTTTCTTTTACCCGCGGCATCAAGTGTGCCATCCTTGTAAACTGCCTACTATGAAAGCAAGGCTAAGCAACAGTGTATAGAAGCCATCTTCCACCTGTGTAGTGACAACCCAGAATGCTAAGAATTTCCATCCCACTGCCTATCATATTTATAGGCAATGAGCCAATAAAAATGCACGACTGTGTATGCATGTGCTATTCACACTCTCTACATGGCAATGGGGCCTTCTCTTTTGGAATTCTGCAGTGTAATATTAGTTCTTGCTTGAATGTGAGGTGTTAGACTTGACAACTTGCAGGCATGTTGCACTGTTCATTGACTTAACTTCTTTATCGGGAGCTCTTCTGTTATGCACACAGGGTCTTCTTTCTCTTTACTGCTAGTTATCTTAATCTCAGTTTCAGACAAAACAAAATCTCTTCCCACTGGGAGTTGCTCCCTTGTCATCAGCCAGACAGGGGAGAGAAGTGGGCGTTTTTTTAGTTCATTAGGAAACATTTTTCCTTCTGCTTTGCATTTTCCAGGGGCTACATTAAGCATGAGACCAGCCCCTATTCCAGTTGAAGAGCCAGAATGGAGACAGACGCCTCCACCAGTCACAGCTACCTCTGGGACTTTCCGCTTGCGACGCGGCAGTCGGTTTACCTGGAGAAAGGAATGTTTGGCTGTCATGGAAAGGTAACATATGAATTTGATGAACTACACATATGTGGTGAGAGGTAGATTGGACCATCTCACAGAGCACAAGGCAATTTTTAAATCTTTTTTTCCTGATGTTACTCAAACCAGTAGCTCCCCAGTGTAAAATATGCAAGAGATCACACCAAAAGATATACAGGTGAATAGGTCATATTATATGACATTTATTGTGTCCTATAACAATGTTGCCCAGGTATGTGGAAATATAGAATAGTGGGTAGTATCATTGGTTGCAAGAATTGGTTCCTAATAACTCACTAATGAGAACTAGCTGTTTCAGGGATCTTGGTGACTTTCAGATATGTGACATAATTTTGTAGGACTTTTGGTTGTAGATTTGCAAGAATACACTGAGGATGTTTTAAATAGGAATCGTAGGTTATGATAATTTGCTAGCCTTGTCCTGTGACAAATCACTCCTTCTGATATCACTTATTTCTTTACTTCCATTGAATGAGGATTGCATTTTTAAAACTGTAGCCCTTTCAGACTCAGTTTTCCTTTCTTTGATGTTTTTTGTAGGAGTGCCACAAAAGATTCACCCATTGCCAATTATTTATGTTTTGTTTTTCTTCAGTATATTCAGAAACCTGTCTTTTTCCTCTATTCTGCACTTTAAAAAACTACTTCTAGGGTGTTTACAATCTGAAGGCTAAAGAAAAAATAGGTCCAGTAAATTTATACTTACCTTTAAACTTAAGGCTGGGCGTGGTACCAATAACCACAGCATGGACTCTTTTCTATTGACGCAGCTATAATAATTACTCTCCGTAACCTGCAGGCAACACCCCGTGTTTTGGCATCCCCTCCTCACAAAATATATGAATGACTTTCTTCATTGAAAAGGGAGCTACAGTTGCTCCAGACCAGTGTTTCTCAACCATGGCAACTTGAACCTTGGCCAGCTGGGGAATTTTGGGTGTTGAAGTCCACACATCTTCAAGTTGCCAAGGTTGCGAAACACCGCTCCAGACAAATGCTTTGGGTATAAATGGGAAGTCAGTTTGATTATATGATTATCCATTCACATTTCTAGACTGTCCCAGAGGCTTAGAGTAAGTAAAATAGATTATGAATAAACATAAATTTCTTAACATTAACATAGATCACACCAAACATTTCACATAGTGTTATCCAGCCCTCCTTACAGCAGTCTCTTTTCTAGCCTCAGGACACTCTCTCATAGTGGCTTAAGACACATGCAACAAACTGCTGAAAAAGAATCCATCACAATGGATTTGGTGTTTTATGGGACATAGTTGTCACCTTAATCCGTTGGAAGCCCCTTTTAAATCCCTCCATACCTAAATTATACAGAAAAATGGTCTAAAACTTTTAGTCGTATCTGTCTCAGTGGGGGCCATGCACTTGTACCTCTCATCAGGACAAAGAGTTGTAATGCAATCCCCAGGGCACATTTTTGACAATCTGTCTTGCCACTGAGCGAGAGATCTCTATAGGAGACCAAGATAGGCAATCCTAACTCTTTGGGTGAGGCTAGAATGATCACGTTTCAGTGCAAAGAGCCTGAGACCCAGCAAGGCCATTATAATAACAACATCCAGATTTCAGCCACTACAGTAAAACAACCAGCTCTTCATTTGCTGGGGTATACAGGTAGGAAAAAAGAGATATACGGTTTGAAATCAGGGACACAAATATAGAGTTCTGCTTTAATTACAACTTTTCTAATATCTGCAATAAAATTAGATTATCAAAGAGCTAGATTATCAAAGAGCTTTGTCCTCAAATGTCTGCCTACTAGCCTTTATACAGTGGTTTGGGTGAAATCTGACACATTACTTACAAAGGAGTAAAAGACATTTCTGTGAATAAGAATAAAAACAGTTTAACCGATGGGCCATGATTTCTTAGGAAGGAGCAGTAATCACATGTGGTCTGGGAATTCTGTCCCAGGATTCCTAGTCCATCTTTCAGTGTGCCTGTACTTCCCACTTGTAACCTATCAGCAACTTTCTGTGGTCCTCTTAGAACTCAGTAAGTTACCTAGTTTTGCTTCCTTGGATATGACTCACTCTATATGACTTATGGGCTTGAATCAGTTTGGTAAATGATGGAGACCAAATTTAAGCAACCTTTTTCAAAGTATTGTTTTATTTATTTTTATTCCTGTTTCAACATAAATTTTGTAGGCAGCTTAAAACAGTAAAAAAGGATAACAACAAAAGCACCTTATAACATGTTAACATTGAATCAGTCCAGCAACCTAGTTAATCCATAAAAAGGTAGGTGCTGTTACCAAAACCCTTTCAGAACCATTTTTTAAAACACAGTTCTAAAAATGGGAAGAGAGAAGCCGATGATAACTCCATAAGGAGGTAATTCTACAGTAATGGTATCACCACAAGAAAGCCTTGATTCTGATTCCATTTGTTGATATTGCTCAGGGTAACAGGGTAGAGCATCCAGTGTTAATCTCATGTCCTGCATAGGCTTGTGTGGATGAAGGCAATCCTTAAGATAAATTCTTCCAAATCAGAATTTTCTAAAATTTCAGAATGAGCCTCCCCAATGTCAGAATCAGACAGCTCTGTAATATATGGTATTTATATATGTATGTGTGTAGATGGAGCCTCTCAACTCCAGGGTGCAAATTCAGCTTTCTTGGGGTAATGAGGTTGAATGTGAAGGATAGCAATTCTCACAACTTATATTTTACTAAGGCATCCTCAAATAGCAAAAAGTTGCAATCCCAATTTATGAGTACCAAGTACAGTACAGTTAAAGTTATCTGAATAAATGAGGATTGTTGAATCGTTTGTGTTTGTAATCCTTTATCGTCATTCAGTAAATCAGATCAATAATATTTTCTCAATATCACAAATGCAAGAGGAAAGACAAGAGAGAGTGGCTTACTAAAGGCCACCCAGGGAAATCATAAAACAAGAAGTTTCCAATTCTGACTACAGCTCAGTCTGTTAATCACTGCATTTGCACTTGAGCCTGGAAGCTTTTCTGTCCTTTAGGGACCATTGTGCACATACAATGCCTGGATGTTAATTTTTTTTAATCTGAAAAGATGTGAGATTTTTTACTACTTTATTTTGTTGTAAAAGGTTGTCTCTTGGAGCCTTGGCAGGTATGATGCTACCAAATCATTATGTATATCATTAAGGCTCCTTTCTTTGTACAGTTGACTTCAATCTTTCAATTTTTTAAGTGACTATAGGCCACATGAGCAGGGCAGTGATATAACAATATCACTTAATGGGGGTAGAGGTAAGATTTGGGGTTCCTTTCTCCCCTCCCTTTTCTTGAGAGTGGAGAAGGGTTAAAACAGTAATAAATGCATTGAGCCCGTTGAAGCTTTAATGGACCAATTTACTTTTGTGATTTTGTGGCTTGATGTCAATAATGTTAGGCGACTTGAGGGACCACCCAAAAAAAAAAAAAAGGAATGGAATGGAATGGAGCATCCTGGAAAAGTGCACGGCCTGCTTACTGAGCAGGACTCATCCATGCTTATTGAGGTAAGAGTATAGAAATGGACAGAGCCCTGGTGATAAGCAGTACAAAATGGCCCTGCAGAAGGAATGATCAGACAGAACCTCTGAATGATACTGCCTATTTGAAATGACTTCCATATCTATGTAACTAGAAATGTAGATGTTTTAGGGAAAACAAGGTTTTATACTGAAAATGTGCAATTGCCTTGTGAAATTTTGTGTGTGCAGGATGGATGGTGACACTTCACACAATGTAGGATGCATTAATGCAGAGCCAAAGATTATTTTCCCTAACCAATAATCAGAGATGCATTTTCCCAGTGTTTTGCTCATACTGTCTCTGATGGTGCAGATTTCTCCAAGTTGGCAGTATTTCTAGGTCCCACATAAATCATAGAAATGAACTGCTTCAAGGATATTTCAGCCTTTTTACCACTGCTTCACATTTTCGTCCTGCTCACATATTTTGGCCACTTTTCATTTTCATCCTTTACTGTCACCCTACACAAAAGAGATCATTTGATTCCCTCTGCAATCAGCCATCGCCATCCTGACGGGCGCCTTTTGTCTAGAAAGCACAATTGCATTTGTTGAAGGTTTATCCCTGGGCTTTTGTAATCATTCATTCTGCTCATCTTGTTGCTTCCTTCCCTACCCCACCTACTTACCCATACACTTTTTTTTTCTTTACTGCTTCAAAGCATTCTGAGCCTAGTATAGTCTAATAGTTTTTGATAGAAATTTGAAAGTGGGGGCTACTTTAATATGGTGTCAGCAGTCACATATCTTTAGCCTTTATATCTCACAACCTGTCTTCATAATATCCAGAAAATTCTCCCTAAAGGAAGGGGAGAAGCAGCACCCAAGAGAAGGATGGGGAACAGAAAGGAGTTCTCAAACTTCTACCCCACAAAATGGAGCAAAAGCCAAATTTCAAAACTGGGATATAGTGGTTTTCTTTTCATTTTTCCCGTCCTGCGTTCCTTGTTTTTGGAAATGCCTTTCCATCCTCTCAGGTAATAAAAATAGAAAAACTATACTTTCAGTAGCCATTAATTAGCTGGCTTTCATTAACACCCTAAATCTGTTACCTGTAGCAGGAGCAGTAGGACTTCTGTGCACCTATGTTAATGTTTGGCTTCTGTTTTTAAGCATCCAAAATGGGAAAGATATGCTTTGTGATCTAGCAGCTCTGGTTGCCTGTTTTGGCTTCATCTGCTGCCTATTTCACTTCCTTCATTCTGCCCTGCGCTTCTGTACCCTCCCCCCCACACCAGATTTCCTGGGGCCAGTGAGACAAGAGGTAGCCAAGCCAGCTGAGGCATAGCCAGCCACCTAACTCTCTGGGTGGGCATAGCTGGAGGAACTCTTTCTACCTGTAGCAGTCCCCTCAGTCTGAAAAATGTGACACTAGCGAATGAGGGAGACCAAAGAGAAACCCAAAGGAAAAGACTCATCCTTTGGAAATCCAAAATAGCGGAGGAGGCTGGAGGGCTCTGAGCCAAGAGGATGGAGAGGTGAAGCAGCAGCATGTGGATGGAACTGAATTTTGCAAGTGGACTTGACCTTCTTGATCCAGACCTGTAGCCAGATTTCTTGGATTAGATACAAAATGTGTACATTTTAAGAAATATTATCAATAGCAATCTAATGCTTATTAGTTATGCCAGTACCTTTGAACTCACTGGAGGTCATGAGCATATTTCTCAGTGAGCAGATGGACAGAATTCTGCCTGTTTTTCCTTAAAATCTTCATAAGGGAAAGAGAAAGGATCAATTAAAAAAATGAATTCCCTGGCAGGATAAAAGTTGTTATTCTTCCACTAGCAGGTCAAAATGATTTTATTTGGGCAAGCTTTTGATGGGTCAGCTGGGATGACTCCTTAGTGGACTTTAATTGGGTAGGCAAGGGTTGATTTTATTGATATGTTTCTAATGGTGCACTATCTATGTTTTGAAATTGGATATTGTATTTTATTCTTTTGATTGGTAGCTACTGTAACTGAAAAGATGGAATATAAATCCAATAAATAAATATAATTCAGAAAAGGGTTGGAATGGAGCAGCCCATGCCCCTAACTCAGTCCTGAAGTTGGACAGATCTATGCTCTGATATGCAGTTTAGGAGCTTGCTGGGCTCCAGTTTATATACTTAGTCTTGTATAAGATGTTACTTTCCATTGACCAAGACCTCTAAGTAATTTTTAATAAATCTCACCAGCATATTGTTTAAGTGGTCAGTTATATGTTGGCACATATTTTATCTGCTGGTGACACATTCCTCCCTTCTTCCTCACATGGATACTTATGCATCTGTTGATGGTGAATGTGATGGCTGCTATCACATTTGCTAGTGACATTTGCAAGTAATGCTAATTCACAATTTGTAAATCTCTTTTTAAGCCCAGATATAAATCATGTTTAATGGTGACAGCTTTTCTTAATCCTGATACATACCTAACTATCACCAGCAGGATTTCCTTTTTGAAAGAAGAGTACAGTAAGTGTATAAGAACTCGAAGTGCTTCTGGTTGCCTCTCTCTGGCTTGAACTCTGACCATTGGCTCATCTGTGTGAAGCTGATATGCACTATAGCTCTGCGGCTTTTCTGATTTGAAGGGGCAAAAGCGTTGACAGCTCTTTAGGACAAATGTCTCTCTTCCTGGAATTATACTACAATAATTCCAGGAAAAGAGGCAGCTGCTTTAAGGAGTTGCTGACAGGTACTACGTGGGCATTCCCCCCCCCCCTTCAGATCCAAAACACTGAAGAGGTCTGTTCTTCACAGCCCTCCCTTCTGTTGAAAAGAGCAAACAGTCTCTCTCTTTCGTACATTCAAAATTCGTGATTGTTTTCTCTATACAGAGTTTCTCAAAGGTCTGTGGTTTGGGATTGTTGTCTTTATTTTGTGTGGGTACAGGGAGTAGGATTTCTAAGACAAACACACTCTGTTTGTTTCTGTAGCTACTTCAATGAGAATCAATATCCCGATGAGGCCAAGAGGGAAGAAATTGCAAATGCCTGTAATGCAGTGATTCAGAAACCAGGTACAGAAGAATGCCAAGAAGGGGCTACGTTGTTGTTGTCTTCTCTTTTCCTTTTCCTTTTCCTTTTCCTTTTCCTTTTCCTTTTCCTTTTCCTTTTCCTTTTCCTTTTCCTTTTCTTTTTTCTTAGAAAGATTGCCTATGATTCTACCTTGTTTACTTGAACATATTTTTTTTTCTTATTGGTCCCAACTCAATTGTCCATGCATGGGTTATCACAGAAATAGACTGAAAAACTGCACCAGTCCTAGACAAAATGAAAGAGAAATACAGTATCCAAATATGCCATCAACGCCTAGTTACTATTTTCAAAAACGACCCAATGCATTTTGAGTTTCAACCGTCCTCCTCCACCCCAGGAATAATTTCTGTTTGAACAAGATTTAAAAAGAAGGGAAAGAAGAGAGATTGGGGGGGCGGGGAGACCCTCAGTTTTTTGGAAGTATTTCAAAAAGGAAAGTGTTTCTCTGTTTCAAAGAACTGTGAGGTTCAAAAGATGTCAAGACATTTTTAACAAAAACAAAATCAAACTGTGCTGAATTAACAGTGTTAAACTTCTTGTTCTTGTGCTACAGTGTTCATCTGTTTCCACCCTCAAAAGGGCAGGATATTTTTGGCAGTTGCATTGACTAATATCCAACAGTATAGTCAAACGGTGCTTCAAGAGCATAAAAAGTAGGGTGGGATTTAAATGTTGCATGTGGCTCTGGGAATAAGGTGGGGGAGCAACATGCAGCCCTAAGTCCCTTTCTGGAGAATCTCAGAGCTGCTGCTGACTGTTTACTAAAAACTGAAAGCCATCTTGGATGGGAAACCCAAGAAGACTAGTTTAAGTCCTAAAATTCTCGAAACTCCCCTCCCCAGTCCTAGGCACTCTTACACATGTGCTGTGGTTATACTCATTTTGTAGCCCTCAGTTCCCCCAAAGCTATTAAAAGTGGCCCTAGGTTCACCCCTTGTTTTTAGGTTTGTCCACTGCTGCTATAAAAGAACACTAAGCATGTGTTTTAGAAAAGAAACTCTCATATGGTTTGGGAAATCCTGTCCTGCACTGTCCTGGGGCTTCTAAAAGCAAATAATATACCATCATGGTTTCTTTTTTATTTTATACAGGAAAGAAGCTGTCTGACCTGGAGCGAGTTACTTCCCTCAAAGTGTACAACTGGTTTGCCAATAGAAGGAAGGAAATCAAGAGGCGAGCCAATATTGGTAATGTATCAGACAGCCTTGAAGAACTGCTGAAGAAAGATGGAACATGATTGACTTTTCTTCACAGGAAAACAGTCTTGATAATATTTTTTAAGTAAAAGCTTGACAACATGGTCAAAACAAATCTTTTCTCTTCCTCTGTTTTTACTAAACCATACTGAACAGTTCATCAATGTTAAGATGTTGTCAAAAAGCATTGGTATATGTGTATAATAGCATCTTTAAGTCCCTTAGGTCAGGGAATTTCATCATGTCTTTCAAGAAAACCTGGAGACTTCCAGTTTTGTTGGAAACTGATCTGCACTTACTCTGCTGAAAAGATCAATGGATGAAATATATTTAGTCCACCACTGTGATTACCTGGGAATATTAGGCCATACTATAATGAATTTTTAATATACCTAGGGTGGTAATAAGGCCCAGTAGAATAGTAAGTGCTACATATGAACCCTAAAACGTGCCTCAAAGTGTTCTACAATGTACCACGTTGCTTGGGGCCAACAGTTTGCTGTGAAAAGCTTTCCTTGCATTTGGATTATTTTGAAAAACTGCCTTAACTCTCCCACTGTCCTCACGGTGAAGCAAAGGCTGTTCAAGTCATTGAACAAGTTTGTATGTCACACAAATCTGTATAAGGCTTGGCTTAGCCTGCTGTCCAAACCTATTCTAGGCCCAGGAATAGGCTAAACTGTTTCACATAACTATAATCTGAAACTGTGGTTTATGTTTTCATGCCTTGGCTGTAGCTCCATGTGCCATGCAAATGGAACAGGAGCAGGTGAACAATGGATACTCTCCATTCTGATCTCTAGTCACAGAGTTGGATGGCAGGAGTCACAGCATTTTTGTTCCTTCCACCTTGTTTGTATCTCCTGCAGATGTATAGTGAATTCTTTAAGGTAAAATTGGACTGATGGAAGGATTAGTCTTTCTTTATCTCAAATGGTGATAACCATGTGCCAGTGAAGCAGCGACGTGCCTATTTGGGTTGCTGTTTCTGGTTAAAAAAAAAAGTTTAAAACTGGGAATGATGGCTGCAACAACAGCTGGGCAGGAAGAAAGCTTTGCATAATTGTCTGCTGAGTTCCCCATGGATATGTCTCTTACAGATGATCACTCTAAACCACAGACTGGTGTGTTTTCTGATTAAGCCCTTCTGGTGCCATGAACAATGGCATGTTCCCATCTGTGTCTCCCAATTTAGTTTTCCTTCACATCCTTCTCCCTCTTTATCATCTCACCACAGTCACAAATATAATACCATATAGCACCTAACATTCTGCTAGAGAAAATAAATATTTAAAGAAACGTCCTCACTTTAATTAGCATTTCTTGTATACTAATAAATAATACAGGTATCTGGCACTTTCCAAAGTTTGAAATGCTTTGGATATTGTAGAATAGTAAATAACATTACAATTTTTTAACATATTGTGCAGAAAAGGAGCTTTAAATGTGCCTATCTATCATATAAAATATTTAACATATAAATGTGCAATTAATTACATAAATTAATTTCTTTTTGCTTTGAATTTTTAATTTGTGTATCCTTTCGGGGAAAAACCTCTAGTGTAAATCTTCCCCCAGACTTCCGTACCTTTTTAATAATTCAAGAGTTCAGGTTCTTCCAATGAAATTGACTGATAGCAGATTCAAGACGGAGCAAAATAAAAAAAAGCATACTTCTGACAATTTAACACAATACGGTGATTGCCCCTCAACTAAATTATTTTTCGTAGGGTATGAGCCAAAGGGAGCAGAAGAGCTTTTATTGGCTGTTAGCTGTGATGGTGATTTGGAATCTGCAGTTTTAGATGCAATGCATTTCTGAATGCCAGTTGCTGAGGGCTACAGCCACAAGAGAGAAGCACTGCCTTTCAAGTCCTGCTTGTGGGCTTCCTGGAGGCATCTCTCTGGCCATTGTTGGAACTAGAATGCTGAACTAGATGGACCTTTGAGCTGATCCATGCAGGGAACTTCTTATGTTCTTATACTTCTTTAGGATGAGATGGCAAGATGGTGCCTGGAGGGGGGGGGGGACATCAGAGGGAAACCAGCAGATTTTGTCCATTAGCATGGGAAAGCCAAACAGTGGTATAGGTAGCACATCAATAAAGTAGCATGAGTCTAGGATGCTTTGCAACCTCACAAAAGATAATGGAGCACATCGTGGCTTTCATGTAACTTGTGTGTTGTGAGTTGCACCTTAGAATATTACCATTGCAAGGGACAGGCATCGCAGGCTGTGCAGCCAAGTGATTTGAGCCGGCTATGAAGTCCAGTTGGAGCTATAAAATATTTGCAAAGGCTGATGACCCTGGATAGAAACTGATTTTGTTTCTTTTTTTGAATTGGCATTTATGCTCCTCCAACCAAATTAATTTTCCTTTTTTTAACAGTGCAACAACTTGCACAAAAGGGGCTTGCACCATATTGAAATGAAGATGAAAAGGGGGCCTCACTACAGGGGTGTGTTTATTGTAAGAACCATCAAGCCACAATCAGAACTGTAGAAAACGGATAGTCACAATCATTACATAGAGAGAATGAGAGAGACATTGTTTTATTACTTGGATTATGGCTTCACTAATCACATGTGGATTTTGTCCCTTTCTTAAGAAGGGCCTCCTAGGTTGAAGCCTATCTGGTAGGAAGAGCTCTGTGTGTGATATGATTCTACAGGAGTGCAGGAAGAAAATCTAAACCATGATGCCAGGTGCAGAATGCAGCTGCTAAGAATTGCTGTTTTCATTTGGAGGGAAAGTTTCCAGTCCTTATGAATCCATAAATAGCACTTGCTGAAATCTCCAAATTCAGAGGCAACTCCAAAAGATTCCCAGGAAATTGGACTTCGGTATCCTGTGAAAGACAGTTGTCTCTCCCCAGGCACTAGCAAGACAACAGGAAATTATGTAAAGTCAGAGATTATCCAAGCCTGCATGAGAAATTCTGCAAATTGAGTAAATCTGCGTAGTCACCTTTCTTTGGCAGAATTTGGCTTGTGGAATTAATGTTTTCTTGCTGCTGAGTTTAAACTAAAAAAAAAAAAAAAATAGTCCTGAGTATTTCTTTGAGGTTCTTACAAGAAACAAGATGCCCCACTTGTGAGGATTCTAGTTTTTCATCTTCATCCTTATTGGTAACCCTGCAGCAGATAATTCAGGGATCAATTTGCTTTTTTCGAAGAAGCAGCAATCCTGGAGAGTCATGGGATAGATGTACAAAGTCCCGGAGGCCACTCCAACAGTGACGACGTAGACGGGAATGACTATTCAGAACAGGTAAGTATGCGAGCTGAGTCAGGGGGCTCCAATATGGAGAGTCCCCCTGTAGGCTGGTCTTCGTCCTCTGGGATTGGGGGGGGCATGTGGAGTGGTGGGTGTCTTACATCTTTCAGCCTCCTAAAATAATGTGGCCTTTTATACTGTTGTGCAATGGGGGAAGGCAGAAAACACAGCTATCCCCCCCCTCAATGGACCAGCCTTCACCCACATGGATTTATTGTCATACAACAGGAGACTTGGCAAGTACGCAATGGGGAGGAGGAGGGAAGATGTACAGAGGGAGGCAGAGAAGCAGAGAAGTTAGAAGAAGACAGGAGGATCTGCTCAAAACAAGCAAGTTGACACTCTGTTCGCACACATTTGCCAAATGCAGGGGCATGATGAATTCCCCAAATGTGCACCACCATGCATAGTAAACACTGTGTCTGTTTCTCCCCTGTGCCCCTGTAACCAGAGCTGTGTGCATCCTCAGAAATCCTTTTTGATATTGTTTTAAGAATGCGTCTTTTTAGTCCTCACCATTCTGGACTGAGGGCTTATGTGCATGGTCAGATTTAGTGATGCTGTTCATTGAACAGCCCGTGAAGTATGAGGAACAGGAGGGTGGGGCAAGCAGCTCTCCCCTGATTTGATCAGTCCTCTTTCCTTTTTTAACAACTATTGTCCTCTGCCCTCTGATGTCATTGGGTATGTAACTTTGATGTCTACATCATATCCATCATGTACTCCTTGCAAAAAATTACAATTGAATCTTGAAAAGAAAATAGTTAATGACGCAGGCCAAATAAAAGCATATCCACTTGCTTAGTTTCAATATAAATTTCAGAATCACGTTTTTGACGTGGAACACACAGCCCTGCTTATACCATAAAGATATACAAGTTTTACTCTCTCCTTACCCACCCTCCCCACAATGCAATGAATGCACAGCTGCATGCTCCTCTTCCCAGAATTTAATGCATTGTTGTAAATTGGTAACATGGCAGCTCAATTCCAACCAAGAATATTCCATCTAACCTCCTGGTGCCAACATGTTTTTAAGGCAAGATGAAGCCTCTTCATAATTTGTCCCTGCTCTTGAGATGCTATTTTAAAAATTGCTTTTATTCTTAGGAACATAGGAAGCTGCCTTTCACCACTGGTCCATCTAGCACAGTGTTGTTGATGTACTGACTTACAGTGATTCTCCAAGGTCTCACATAATGAGGTTTCCTCAGCCATTTCAGGAGATGCTAAGGCATGAACTTGGTACCTTTGGCATGGAAAGCAGGTGGTCTGTTCCTGAGCTACACCACCTGTACATTCTTGATAGGCCATGGCTGTCATCTGATCTTCATATTTTGTTATGTTTCCCTTCCCCCTCCTTTCCCCACACTTTCGGTTAGTTTGTAACTTGTTCTTATTTTTGAAACTATTCTAGATACAGGTAGTCCCCAGTTTAAAAACGAGTTCCATTCCCAAGGTCTGTCCTTAAGTCACATTTGTATGTGAGCTAGAACAGTATTATTGTATAATACTGTATAAGTAGTATTGTGTAATGAACTCGAACCATTGTGTATTTAACTCGAATCATTGTGAATTTAACTCAAATTTTGCTACAGTAGGCTTTGTTCCTTATTTTTGAAACTATTCTAGATACAGGTAGTCCCCAGTTTAAAAACGAGTTCCATTCCCAAGGTCTGTCCTTAAGTCACATTTGTATGTGAGCTAGAACAGTATTATTGTATAATACTGTATAAGTAGTATTGTGTAATGAACTCGAACCATTGTGTATTTAACTCGAATCATTGTGAATTTAACTCAAATTTTGCTACAGTAGGCTTTGTTCTTAACTATGGGTCATCTGTAACCCAAGCATTCTTAACTCGGGGACTACCTGTGGTCTTTGGTGATATAAATATAGGAAATGAAATTAAAAATACTTTCTTCTGTTCTTTTTAATTTCTAAGAGAAACTACTTGCTAAAGAGGAAAATAAGAGAATATAAAGAATGAATAGAAAAAGAGCTGTCTCACAGAAGAGATGCTTAGACTGTCTTTGATGTGTTTGAGCTAGACACATGTAGATCTTGGTTGAATATTAAGAGAAACAGAAGACTTTGACGATGGGGGCCAATTACCTAGAGTTGTGATCATCCCTCTTATTGGTCATCTTCAAGGGAAAATATCCATTGTTGAGAATCCTCTAGCTTTGTGGTTCCTGCATTGATTAGGTTGGATTAGATGGCATTATTGTGATCAGTGTGTTTTTAATGGAAATTTTATATTTTGTACATGGATTATAGTTTTGTATTTAACTTCCTTGAGTGTTCTTTTAGTGGAAATATGGGAAATAAAAACAAATAAAATACAAGCCTTTAACTTGAATATGTAATGAAGGGAGCTAGGAACAGATTAGTCATTTGTTGTGTTCCAGTTTCTTTTTCTGTTCTGTAGTCAAGCTCTCACTCAGCTGACCAGATTGATAGAGCTTTACTCTGGCTGAATATACCAGATGTTGGCCAACCATTGGCTGAGAATGTTCTAGTTCTGGATTTATTGCATGTAGCAGGGTGTGGTGTAATGGGTCCATAAGGCCACTTCCAACTTTCTGTTTCTGTACCCTTTGCATAAATCTAACTAAGACTATAAGAAGAAACATTGTTTTATTGAGCTCCGACTTTTTCATTGTTCCTTCATGGGCTTATGTTACACTGCCTAGTAATTAATTCTGGGTTCTAGTAACCTGGTGACCACATTTCTGTTGTTGTATAAGTTAGTCTTGATCATGATGAGGAAGCAAATGTTGTTCCTCCTTGTTTTAACCAAACACATGCAGATTAAGATTACAGGTCCCTCTTGTTAATGGATTGTTGGGTAGAACATAGAACTGTCCCTGAAATTCTCCATAGAATTGAGCAGGGGATACAGAGCCCACATGAAGATGGAAAATGTGAATGCCTTAAATTCTATCAAATATTTGCTTGGATCATTTTTAATATAATTTTTATTAAAAGTTTTAAAAGCAATAATAAGAACTAATACAAACTGAATTAGAACAAAGAAAATGAAAAAGAAATAACAGGAAAAGCTAAAAGTACAATAAGAAAAGAAAATAGAAGAAAAGAGATAGATATAAAGAAAGATATAAAGATATAAAGAAGTAGCTTCCAATATTCTTT